AGGATCGGCTTCACTTGTCTCTTTGACGAGTTGTTGAATGGTGCTAAGAATGGCGAGACTCATTGATGATTCAGACTACAATGCCGGCGAAACGTCTGGGAATGTACCAGGTCCACAGTCCTACTCTGGAAATGGTGATGCATACAATGGACTCCGGAAAAGGTGCGTTCAGCTAAGTCTTCCTAAAAATATGATCGAGTTGCAAAAACAAGGTCAAACAACTTCTATACAACGAAAGGAGATTGCGACCACACAAAAGGCCACACCATCTTGGTCTTCATACATACTAATTCAACTAATAGAAAAGCGTGAAGATAGAACGGTTCTGCATCATAAAAATTACTCAAATAAGGTTATTTAGACTTCAACAGACCTTGGAACTTTTTAACTCTACGAAGAATTATACTTATTCTGTCTGCATGGAAAATTATATGCTGACGAGTATTTTATTGTGGGGCTAATCAATTCAAGGGACTGGCCGACTCTGAGGTTTCCTTAATCACCCAAAAGCAGTTCAAAATGCCGGGAGAAGAAAGCAGACCAATAGAATCTTAAGCCAATCTCAGCAAAATAAGCTGAGATAATAAACTTTAGTCGAGCGAATACACAATAAGAATGCATTTCTGTGGAAGAAACAAATAGTATGTGTTGTATTAATATGGCAAATAGATGGTTGAAAGAGAGTAAACGAATGAGGCGGAGTGTGCTTGCTGGAGAATGCTTTGATTTAGTGTGAGTCGAAGAGATAGCCGTAATCCTAGCTGCTACAGTGCATTCGAGGGGCTCTCGTGCTGAGCGCATAGAGGCTTAAGTTCGCTTGACTAAGTTTTCTTATAGATACGAAGAAAAACTGTGTTTCGATGAATCTCCTGAGATAACATTGTTGGGAAGAGTTTTATTTCGTATGAAGGTGCATGAAGAAGAGATTCGTAGATTGATCTCACCAGAAGAGGATGGATGAATCTCGTGGTATTGCAGCCGTTTGGCTTTTATACGACGTTCAGGTTGACGCATTCCACAAGACCTCCTCCCTCGTTTCGAGTGAAAACGGGCTGAGCCTTCGTCCATCATATGATAGACATCATCAGAGTTCTCTCTTTCCTGTAAAAGTATCATGTTAACACTAGGTAAAGAAAACCGCGTCAACCCGAACATTGTACAAAGACAAATGGCTGCAGTTGAATGGGATTCATCCGTCCTCTTCTGGTGAGATCGACCTACGAATCTCTTCTTTATGCATTCTGACGACATTTTTATTTTCACAGATATTTTGGGCAACACTAGTCTAATGGTACAAGCTTGCTGGTCACGAATAAAAAACACAAAAACCCTTGGTATTACATGCCTAATGAGCCTTAAAGAGATGTATTTGAAGGGATAAAATGAAGCATTGATCATCTCTGTGTGTTCGTGTCGTACCTGACTAGCGGTTCGGCTGTGTGTTTAAGGGTATCTTCTACCAAATACTTGTTGTGACACAGGACTATGAGTTTGATAATGATAAACTATGACCTTTGCATGTCTAACTTTTTAGTCAGAGATGGATGTAAAAGAAAAGCCTCTAAAAACGGAACTTCGGATGTATTCATTTAGTTGTGCAACTGTGTTATACTCAGCTTGGTGGTTAATTTGTCTTACTGTCATCATTAGGCAATTGTACTTAAATCTCCGTTATGATAGCTACTATTACAGAGGACTTTGGACAAGGTGCGTTCACTTAAGTCGCCCCGACAGCAAGACCAAGTTACGAAAATGAGGTCGACCGAATTCTATCAAAATAGAGTTACAGAAAAAAGCTAATCCTCCATTACAAGCTGTCCCAGTAAATAACGAAGAAACTAGTTAGTGATGTGTTGAGGAAACCCAAAAATGAGGTTTTTATTTTTACTTTATTTTATAATGATTAATATGGGATCGAAATAGGAGATTAAATAGTAAGATACAAAATTCCCAACAATAATATACGTAGACTACATGCTACCAATATCGGGAGAATTTCAAAAAGAAATGGATGTTAAAAATACAGAAATCAGGGAGCATTTGTGTAAAATCTGATTGTTGTGTTTAGGCGATGCTCCAGAAAAAATTATGTTAAAATTAAGCATCCTACGTTTAATCAAGATTACTTTTTGTCTAGAACAATAAGATCAGAGGTCTCCTAAAATCTCCTCCGTAAAAAGAAACTTGCTTCTAAATTGTATGAAACAACAATCTTCATATAATCTATCTGGCCTTTTAGGATGGGATCTTTTAGCAGCCATGCTAAGAACATACTAAAAATCCTCTAATCCCTTACTGTTTTCCTTTTTAAAAATGTCAAATTTGTTGGAACACACAGGAGCTGATGAATGAAGGACGGAAGATAGCAGCAAATTTTAATCACTGAAGCCAATGTTGAGTGCAACTTTGGGTTGCTGAATAGTATATTTGTCGTACAATCGTCAACCTAGTTCTCGGAAGACCAAAGATGTGTCATGTGTTGTAATGAGATATTGTTGTTGGGCCGAGATGCGGTGCAAAAATGCCGTTTGTAAATTTTACGTGGTAAAACGAGGCATAGCTTCTTCTTGAAGATATGTCGCTTAGATATTGCACGGAAATGCTACATATATGCGCAACGTGAAAATACTGCATTGTCAGGAAATCGACCTGGTTAGTTAAATTTTTTGGGTCAGCATAAATGAGGTAGCCCTGAAGACACAGGTTTATTGCCAAGGTCGTTGGACTTTGCTTTGGTTCTGACGTCAGATAAATCCAGTCCTTGTAAGGTTCAATAAAAATCGTCATGATGCTTCAGATATTGCGCAGAAATTCCGCCCCAAGGAGCTGGATAAAATGTTGTTCTAAGTTGCCTAAAAATGCTGAGCAAAGATATGGCGCGAAGTTAAAACGCGAGGATGGTCCTCATTCAAAGTATTGTCCGCCCGCCCTTTAGGTTTTTCTGTTTGTTTATTCCAGTGCTTATTGAGAGAGGTCTCTAATTGGAGGCGAGGCGGCTTCAGCTCAGAAGGTTATTGCACGTATAGTTGAGAAGGACAAATATATATTGCGCCCAATAAAGTGTATATTACATCATAAAGCTGCGATGCCAGTTGTGTATAAAATGAAGAGTTGCTTTAACTACAGCCATTATCTGGTTCTTACGCAAGAAGTGGAATCTCAGCGAAGACCTAAAATGGATGTTAAAGTTATTTTGATGCCAAAGCATGCTAAACTCAAAATCCCGACTTAAATTAGGTAATAGCTTAAAACTCGGTCAGTAGGGCTTAGGTCGTGTGCTATAGGTGGGAATACGCAAAACGCTGTATAGCTTTGGGTTCATTGACGATGTGCGAAAACCAATTTTTCCACACACATTTTTCAATGTATAACATTGTCTCACTACAGCCTACTATCTTTTATCTTGTGGGCTATCTAGTTTATCGCCTTATGTGAATAACATTGTTAATTTACATTATCTTGTTTCAAACTATATTATACTCGAAATTCGAACATTCTCATCACTCATATAAATGGTAATACTTTATGTCAATTTTGAGGGTTTATCAAAAATGTTTTATTCAGTGATTTTGTTAAATGTACTATTGTACATCACCCGTTAATAGTGCTACTTTATGCCCATTTCTAGCGCTTTTACCAAAAGTTTTTTATAGTGAATTTCTGCGATTACTTTGCATATCGTTTCCTGTCAATCAAAAAATGTCTAGCGTTTTACCCCTTCAATTGCTTCTTCACTTACACTACTCAGCTTTAAGCTTCTCTTTTTTATCCTCATTTTGTCATTCCTTCTACTTCTAACTTTTGCCTTTCATTCTAACATAAGACCCATTTTCCATATTACCTCCAGCTGGTGATCGGACTTCTATCGCTGGCCCCAGCACACCCAGTGTGCCCCGTACAGCAATCTACCAGTCAACTGCAGGAGGCAGTGCTAACGCCGCTAGCATGGCTACACCTGCCTCACAGGCCGAGTTCGCCTTCTACCTTCTCCATTCGCATCTCATACCAAGGTGAGTCTGCTATATGTAAATCTTTGGCTGACATCATTTCAAATAGTTGTTGCTAAATACGATTTTTTTACTGTAGGAGGGGATTTGCATAAGCTAAAGGGTAAAAATATACTATGCACAAAGCGCATACATTGTAATATTAAAGCAGCCTTACTGTCCTTTACACTTAGATTAAACATACAATTCCTTATGTTTTAATTTTTTTTATACTTTCAACCACTTCGAATCCCTTGCCAACTTTTATTTGCCCTTACGATCAGCCTTTGGCGGTTGCTTAATAGTGAATATTCGCATCTCTTAAGCTGGACGGTCCCTCTGTTGCTTCATTCACTCACCTTTCCCGGCAGCATGTTCGTATTCTGGCGCCTAGTAGAGTTCGAATTCAGTCAGGCTGACTGGCGCGTCCGATTTGATGCTATCGAAAAAGCCGGTCTCCTGTTAGCTGAAATGGATGATCTTGTTTTAACTGGTCACTTCTCGGGAGTGGCCAAAGACAAAGTCTTGGCCAGAAAGCGCCGTCAGACAACTGCACCAGGTAAGGCCTAGTTTCTAATCTAACTTATTTGCTTTTTACTAATGATACTTTCTTCCAAGTAGGCCTGTGAGTGATAGAAAGCCATCTAGCAAGTAAAACTTTTAGTGCTAAAATAAAGAATATAATTCTTAATATATAATATAATTCACTTTTAATTCTAACATTAAAACTTCCTAGCAAAATATATGGATTAAATGTATGACTCTGAAGATAAAAGGAGGATATCTTTTGGCCCCATTTTATCAAATTGTTTACGTCATATTATATACAATTTAAGTTCATTTCTATGTAATTTATGAATATTCTTACTACTTAATTTAACGTCAGTATAAACTAATTTTATTTTAGCATGAGCTATTTACCTATAAGACCTTGTTTCACCAAAGCGAGCCAAGCTAGGCATCATCCTTAAAGAGAAGAAGAACATCTATTGGTTTAACGACATCTATAAACCACTTCACTTAGATATATTGGCCTTCGTTCATTTGCCTATCTCCACTGCGATACAACTTTATTTTTTATCCCTGTTTATTTTGCATCGAAATCAATCTTATTTGCTTCGGCTGAAGATGGTGGCTCAGGTGCAGGTTTTCGTGCGGCCGGCAGAGGACCTATCGCAGGAAAGGGAGGGGCCCCGCTAAAACTTTTGGGTGGTAATTCAAACCTGTTTTAACTAGTTTTTTCTTTATGCCTAATAATTGTATGAGCCAGTAAGAGTATATTTATTTCATTCTCGGTATCTCATTTACTTGTTTTAGCTTTTGAGAAGCCTCTAAGTTTTCTTAATCATTATACTTATTTTATTCTCGTGGACTTATTCTGCTTTACCTGATAACAATATTTTTAATCCATGTCAATCACTGAATTTCATTAAATAATTAACGATATCCATATATGTTATGTGTGCTTGCAAAAGTATCACGTACTCGTATTTTGTACTTTTTTCTAGTTTATACTCTACGGCCTTATTATTGTGCATATATGGCTTCAACCTTGTTCATCTAATTTTGTCGCACTGTAGAAAGGATCTCTTGGCAGACTTTACTAGCATTCTATATCCCTTTGGGTTCGTATAACTTCCCCTTCTATACTGAGCAGTTTTTTCTTACTAGAGATAACAAGTGATTCTTTTACAATTTGCTAGAGGTGAAGAGATGGTCTTCTTCTATAGTCGTCCGTAAATCGAGTTTTAAAGCTTGCAAGTTCTGCCAAGACTTCCTTCTTATCGTCACTATTGCCAGACAAAGCGCATTCTTGTCCAAACTATCTTAACTGTTGATTCGACTTTCAGTTCGAGTTCGTATGTGTAACTGAGAGCTCTGCAGCTTGATTTCATCAAAAGGGGGAGGTAGGTTCCAATTGGTCTGTTTTAGTTTGGTTTCGGTGGAAATTTTATGCCGATGTAGTACTCGGGACACCATCCTTTTGTGAACTGGTAGAGATTCGGACACCTTTTCTCATGGTCTTGGTCCGCCTCAGCCTCCTTCTAGAAGGATATAAAAGCTAAATTAAAGCAGATTTTAAGGAAACTATGACAATTTCTTCGGGTGCTCCCATCTTTATAAAAAAATATGATCTATCAAAGTCTGGCAGCTAGAAATTAATTCTCTCATGTTGCCGATCTTATGTCAAAGATACCAGTTGCACCATTTATCAAAGACTGGCGGATAGTGAAAATAATTTTGGATCTATAGGTAAAAGATGCAGATAATTTGTCCCATCCAAGACGTGAAATAAGGTAGTTTACGACTTAAGTTGGCGGATTCTGGGTTGCCTGCTGCCTAATGCAGAATTAGAGAAGCCATCGAAATCAAATGACTAAGGGACATTTTGAATAGTTAGAATGTAAATAAATAATTAGGCAAAGAATATGTATAGAAGTTGTTTTACTTTGTTTTCTCACCTCGATCATACTGTCAGAAAGACCTAGAGGAAAGCACCTTGTCCGGAGCCCATAGTATGCACACTAATTTCCAGAGTCAGACTGCGGACTTGGTACATTCTCAGACGTTTCGCCTACATCGTAGTCGGTAACGTAAGTTAGCCTTGCCATTCTTAGCGACACAAATTTTCTTTTTTTCCATCTATAATCGGCGCATTGTCTGGCACGCTTATTTCCAGAGTGTAATTGGACATATGCTGACGAAACGTCTCAGAACATGCCAAGTCAACGGTCCGACTCTGAAAATTATCATACAAAATATGAACTCCGGACATGGTGTTTTCTCTATGTCTTCCCGACAATACGACCGAGTGGCGAAAATAAGGTCAAGTAACTTCTATACACCGAAAGCGGACCACGGCCATACTAAAAGCCACACCATCTTAGTCTTAATATGTCCGATAAACTAAGAAATAATTATGCCTGATTGATAAGTTTAAAGATATTAAGGGTGCTTGTCCCTCTTATAATGAAAGACGATTTAGCTAATATATCCTCTACTTTGGCTACAAC